ACTCTTTTTGGTTCATTTTAAAGGGAAAAAAACCTTTTTTGTGCTCGGTAAGGCCGAAGGATTTCGGTAGCAGGGCCAATTTCTGATTGACAAACAGAAGGCTGTCCTTAAATATTAAGTTATCACACTTTAGACAGATAATTTTTGCACCTTGTAAAATAACTTCGGGTTTCATTTTTCTTTTGATTAATTCTTGGAGAATAAAAATCGTATCAAATGCACGGCCATTGTGTGAAAAACATTGTATCTGTGTTTTCCGTTCAGAACAGAGTGTAAGCAGATATGAAATAAACTGGCTGACAACACTCTCAGTCGGAGTTTCTTCCAGCGCATCAAAAATGTGTTCTCTCTCCCCGCAGTTTGTGCACTGATGAACCAAATCCTTTACACTTTCACACTCGGTACACACTTGCTGTGCGACGAGCACGTTGGGTACATGTTCAAGCCAGTTATTTCTATTTTCCATGGATGTGGTTGTGGTCTCAACGTCAAAGTAGATTCGTAAATGTCTCGTCTTCTTTGGAAGCGGTGGTGGCGACCATGGAGGCATATAGCACATGTGGTTTTCTGAGACAAGTACATCGCATTTGGTGCACTTGAATTTGCCACAAACGTGTACAGGTTGTTTCCCCTTTCCCCGTGATTTAAAGTCATAGAATTTCTGACATTTAGGGCAGAACTTTTTAGTCTCGCAGGTTGTTTTGTCAAGACTGTAAATTTTTTCATTTTTATGGAAATCAAAACAGGAGGCCCCTTTAAAAAATCTACAGCAATCTTTTCATTGTGTCAGTGGCTCCTCGGTATCATTGTGGTTGTCTCCAGACCCACAGCGCCAGCATGAACCGCTGCATGTGTGATCGTCTTTGTTTGAATACCCTACTACACATTTCTCACAAAAGAAACGGAAGTCAAAAACAGCAGAGGGTGAAAATACTGCATAAAAATGGGCCTCATGCAACAAGAGATAAATGTTTTTTCGGGGATGAGAAAGGGTTGATGCAGGGCCTAGATAAACAATATCCTTTCCTGTGTAGTCGCTGTAAAGCACCAATCTATGTTCAGGTAGCGAATTTTGTAATTGTTTCACTTCCTGAATGCCACACTCTTGATTAGGATCAATGTTAGATTTTTGACAAAGATCTAACGCCATTTTTCTCTGCACTGCAGAGATTGGATTTTTTAGACGTTGAAAAGCAAATTTAGATATTGTACCTCTTAATATGGCTACGGCGACGCAACGTGTGAGACACATTTTGTCTTCTGTATTTTCAGGATCAAATAAAGAATGACCTAAAAGCTTTCGTTTTATGAAATGTGTGAATTCTTCATTGCCCCGGCGTGTATCATGACCCCTACCTCCTGCTTCCGGTTGTGGTACATGAATGT